CTTATGGAGCAGCTGAAGGCCAACTCCTGCCTGATGGATACGACTTTAGTCTGAGGGCACCGCTAGGAGTTCGAGCTTTGGCTCAGACAGTCGTAATTTCGGTCCCCGTTTGAATTGGACGAGGGATAATACTAGCTGTAACTCGCGAATTTAGCTTCTTTCTTCAGTTTATTTCACACAGCGCCATCTAGTCCCAAGCTAAGCAGATCTTGTGTTATAGGTACTAGACAACTGATATACATACTTAGATGCATTTTTTGTAAATACATATATAATATATATAGACAACACCCAGATCAATACAAAACAACCGTGCGATGCGACCGCTAGATCACCGAGGCCGTGGAATATATGTAATATGTACATTACATATATATATGTATATTTCTTTATATGTATGTATATATGTATATGTAACAATATGTTAATTCTTGTGATCACCAGCATTTCTATACCAAAACAGTAGAGCCGAATATTAAATTTACCATCATTACGAGTTCAATGACATTGATCAGGTTACCATAGAGAACCTGTTTTTTTTTATGCCTACAAGATTGTACTCCTATTTTTGGTATAAGCACAGATAACATAATATTACACAGTATAACTAATAAACTTGTAGTTTTCGAAACAACTGTAGTTAATAATAATAATATCTTAGGACAATTCACACAGCGCCATCTAGTCGTGTTAAGGGTACTAGACAACTGATATAAGTAAATTCTTTTTTTAATACATACATATTACACATATAAAACACCCAGACCGATACAAGCAATCATACTCACACAAACGTTTGTAGCGTGGAAGGAATCGAACCTGCGATCATCGAAGTCGGTGTATCAAACCGCTAGACCACTGAGGTGATACATATTTGTATGTAATTTCGAATACACAGAATGACTCAAATTAATTCACATTTTATTTCAATGATTAATAATAATAATAATAATAATTTATTTGCTCAAAAACACAGTATAAAAGATGATGATTAAAACTTAATATCATGTGTTTAGCCATAGTAATGGCATGCAAAATAGTAAGGTTTAAAATTATACATAATTAACTATACAGAAAGAATTAGTAAAAATCACGGGATCTTACCACGTTTTATATTTATTTGCTGAGTTCCCGATATTTCGGCAGTGTTTCAACCACCATGATCACGGGTAAACTGACGACGGTAAGATCCCGTGATTTTTACTAATTATACATATAAATACTGACCGCGTCAAGTTTAAAACAGTATATATACAGAAAGAAATAATAATAATAAATAATTAAATAGAATCTCTCTACCCCTCCGATCGATCCCCCGTCCAATTCAAACGGGGATTGAAATTACGACGGCCTGAGCCGAGGTTCGAACCCCTATTGGTGCCCTCAGATTAAAGTCGTATCCGTCAGGCAGGAGTTGGCCTTCAGCCGCTCCATAAGTCCTTCCGCGGGTTTGGAGTGCCATCTGCACTCGCCCCCTAACGTCCGGTGAAGCTGTAAAGGCCAGCTGCGGCCAACAGCATTAGAGTAATCCGAAAAAAAAAGGATCTCTCTAGTCGCTATTTATATATTGTCAAAAAAATTCATTATACTGTAAAATTTATTATTCTTTAACCATTCTGGTAATTTTGTTATTTCTTAAACTTATTACTTATATAATTTTTTTAAGTCACATGCATAATATACAAATTATTAAAACTGAACTGTATGTTTTTCAAATTAGCAACTAAACACTAAATTCATATGAAGGTATATACGGTACTTACATTGTAGAAAAAAAATATATTAAAAAAAATCTCTTTCTGCCAGTTTGTTCCTGCTTATTTCTGAAACGGCTGGACCGATTTTAACGGGACTTTCACACGCAGATAGCTAATATTAAAAGGAGTAATTTTATCTAATTTATTTTGAAAATTCTATTTATTTTAATTTCACGTGGAACTACTAGTTCATACTAGAAAGTGGTCTCTATATATGATAATATCTTATTAAATATCTTTAGAGTATTTTCTATGAAGATCATATTTAAGAAAAATGTAAATTAACAAGATTAGCAGAAAATGCCTGATATAAAATAAGTTATTAAAATAAAATTTATTTACGACTAGCTGTTCCCGTGACTTCATCCGCGTGGAATTTAACTTTATTTTCTAAAATAAAAGTAGTCTAAGTCACTCCTTATTACATAAGCTACCTGCCAATAAAAGTCCCGTCAAAATCGGTCCAGCCATTTCAGAGATTAGCGGAAGAAGCAAACAGACAAACAAAAATTAAAAAAATATATATTTTGCTATATGTACCGTCTTTATATTCATATGTATGTATTAAAAAATGGTTATTTCAATATTACAAACAAGCACTCCAATTTTATTTATATGTATTTATTATATGTATGTATTTATTTAATCATACCATTTTCACATCTGCCGTGCTCCAATTTATCGAAAACTCTAGAATTATTTTTTTTAAATTACGCGCAATCGTCAAAAGTTATCGGTCGGATGGCGACACTGCCCGCACTCTGTGCCCGGGAGGACCCCACGCGACAAACTGAGGGTTCACTCGTCCTGACACGATATATAAACTAGAGGGAGTCTAGTACACGCAAAGAACTCAGATAATTCCTACTATAGTTTTAAGACTAAACAAATATTACCTAGATAGGCATATCTTATATCAAATAATATCGTATGATTAGAAGCAGTTATATAAATGTTTAGTATAAATTGTAAAGCATGGTAGACAACATTAGGAATATATACAAGAGATAAATCGTAAGACCAATAAACCTACTATGTTTTATGCAAATAAAATAAACACATAAATGCTCTGTCTGTGATGATAGAGTTTTATTTCAAATATATGTATATATCATTATTATTAATATACAATAATAACTTAATAATTTGTATCAGTAATAATCAATAAATTTATTATTTAATTATTTTCTGTATCTGGTGCAATAAAGAGTATATACAAAATAAAAATAAATTATATATTTAATGTTTATAATTAAATACATATTATTATTGTACATTAAAATTACATTGTACGTAACCCCCAGGAAGGATAACGCACAAGAAATACCATTTCACAACGAGTTTTCGTTTCCATAGACAATTTTACCACTACACATCAAATGTTTATCAGCTTGATTCACTTTCCAGTTACATAAAAATTTTGAGGCAAAGAACAACATGTTTTATATTAAAATACATCTATAAATGGTAGTACTTAAATATCGTAAAATTATTAATGACCATTAAAAATTAAAAATTAAAAATATCTCTATTCATGTAGATCTATTACAGACTCTTATGACATGTCAAATCTACCGTCGCGTCAGTTCGGAATGATTTCGAGATGAGAAGAACCAACAAGAAACTCAGCTCGTATTTTTTTTAAATACACACATTACATTAAAACGTAAATAATTCAGTCGCGGAATGCTCTCTTAATAATTCGTATTCTACATGGGGACTCCACTGCGCACGTGCGCCAAACTTGACGTGACTTTAATTTGAATTTGGAACAAAATTAAATTCGCGCCATATTTATGGCTTTCGGGGGAAATCGAGAGTGGTCGTGTAAGAGGCGTTTTTCACGGCGCTCTGAAGTACTGCGCCTTTTTAAGAGAAAAAAAATGGAGAAATTCTATTAAGTACATTTATTGAGGAAACACGAAGCTGTAATCAAATTTATTGGGGTATGATTTACCTTACTTCCTTTAATATAGTGAGGAAGTGTAATGTAAAATTTCATTATTATTATTATTATCTTTTCACATATATTAATATATATACACAAAATTATTATTATTTCTCCGATCACCGTACCGATGTAACTTTGACTGTTACACTTGTTTTGACCTCCACGATACAGGCATAGCCTAGTGTGAAGTCATTTATACATATACATAAATAAAATTGGAGTGTCTGTTTGTAATATTGAAATAACCGTTTTTTACTACATGCATATGAATATAAATACGCTACATACACCAAAATAACACTTTTTACAATTTTTGTCTGTCTGTCTGTTTGTTCCGGCTAATCTCTGAAATGGCTGGGCCGATTTAGCCGGGACTTTTTTTGGCAGGTAACTGATGTAATAAGGAGTAACTTAGGATACTATTACTTAGAAAAATAAAGTTAATTTTCACGCGGACGAAGTCGCGGATACAGCTAGTAGATAATATAATTTAATATAACAATTTCAAGACAATTCACACAGCGCCATCTAGACCCAAGTTAAGCTAGCTAAAGCTTGTGTTATGGGTACTAGACAACTGATACATATACATGGATATTTTTTTGTAAACACCCAGACCGACACAAACAATCATACTCATGAATACAAATGTTTGTGCCGTGCGAGGAATCGAACCCGCGACCATCGGAATTAAATCGGTGTCAGGTTGACCTCCTGCAAACCATGGTGGTAAATTCTCGATGAATTTGTCACAATGGGCTAACTGACCTGACTTCATGCTCATGTTATCACCCTCCACTGGTGCCCCGCCAGCGTAAACCGTTAGCGCAGGCGGGTGCACCATTCCATTATCATCCATGAAAAAAAAAGTTGTTGATAACACAAAAAACCCTAAGTGTAAATAAATAAATTTAGAAATAGAAATAGAAATAATCTTTATTCAAATAAACTCATTACAAGCTCTTTTAAATAGTCATATTTTGATTCTACCACTCATTCGGAATGCAGATTCATCACAAGAAGAATGAGCAAGAAACTTGTGTGTTGCTCTTTTTAATAGATGTTTTTTTTATATAAATAATTACAGTATAACAAGTAAGAGGCATGCGATAATCAACATAGAAGTCGCTACGCACTCATTATTAATGTAATCAGATAATATTGTCAGTGCTATAGATTTAAAGTTTTTCTATAAAAACATTATTATCGTTAACGAATTCTTCAATTTTATAGTAAGCTTTTTTGCAAAGGAACTGTTTTATTTGACATTTAAATAAATTTATTAAATTTACCTGAAATATCTTGTGTCCATTGGGATTGTCTTCACGCCGGTTGCGCAGGTCTATGGTCTGAAAACCATCGTCCAAACCATCGAAGGCTTTGTTAACACAACCGCCACCATCGGGATCTGACTGCGCCATGTTTTTGGGTCTAGAACAAGAAAACAGATTATAAAGAAGTATACTCTTCAGTATATTGTCTATCTCTGTTCAGAGACCTTACGTATTCCCTCACACAAGCGAGATAGGTATATTTTCAATCGAAATTTTGCCAATATTTACATCCCGCGCTACTTGACTTATACTGTATAAAAATAATATGTCATTTGAAAGCTTTAAAAAACATCAACACGGACTGCGCCATGTTTTTGGGCCTAGAATAAGAATACAAATTGTTAAGAAGTATATTCTTCAGTCTATTTCTATCTCTGTTCAGAGACCTTGTATCTTCCCTCACACAAGCGAGATAGCTATACTTTCAATCGAAATTTTGCCGTAAATATTTACGTCCCGCTCCACTCGACTTACTCTACTATTACAGTAAATACACTCGCGAGCAACCAAATCGACTCAAGCGCTACCTCTACATTCAAGCATTGTTCTAAATTGACAGACTGTAGCTTGACAGCCTCGGTGGTCTAGTGGTTTAGCACACCGCTTTACTATCCAATGGTCATGGGTTCGATTCCTCGCACGGTAAAAACATTTGTATTCATGAGTATGATTGTTTGTATCGGTCTGGGTGTTTTCTATGTATAATATGTATTTATTTACAAAAAAAATGTATCCATGTATTTAAATCAGTTGTCTAGTACCCATAACACAAACTCTGCTTAGCTTGGGACTAGATGGCGCTGTGTGAATTGTCCTGAAATATTATTATTATTTTTTTTTTATATTTCCAAAAGAAATCTCATCTCCCCTCTTAAGGAGAGGAGATGGCAACTTACATCTCTGTTCAGACACCTTGTATCTTCGCTCACACAAGCGAGACAGCACTTTCAATCGAAATTTGGTCGTAAATATTTACGTTCGGCTGTACTCGTCTTATTATTATTATTATTGTATTATTGTTCTAAATAAAAGTATACAGGATTTAAATAAAAATTGTCATTTGAAAGCTTGAAACCTAAGCTTTAAAAAAATATCAACACCGACTGCACCAGATTTTTGGGCATAAAGCAAGAAAACAGATTGTTAAGAAGTATATTCTTCAGTCTATTTCTATCTCTGTTCAGAGACCTTGTAACTTCGCTCACACAAGCGAGACAGCACTTTCAATCGAAATTTGGTCGTAAATATTTACGTTCGGCTGTACTCGTCTTACTCTATTATTACAGTAAATATTAAGGCATTTTTTTCGTTATACTGAAAATTCATTATAATTACGATATCTTGGGTATTTTTTAAATTTTCTTACATTTTTCATACGAATGAGCTAAAGATATGTCGTTTTTTGGTGAAAATAGAGGTTCTCAGTGACGTGGATTTCAAAAACGAACTTCTATAAAAAAAATCTGAGTAGAATGAAATGAGCACAATATCGATGCATATGCCACTTAAAATCTTAAGGCGATTTCTCCCAGCCTAACATTGCCTATGTTAGGCTGGGAGAGAGATAAATGAGAAATAGAGAATTATGTGAAATAGAGATTACGTGGACGACATTTAGGTAAATAACCTAAAATAAATAATAATAAAAGAAAGTAGGTACTGACATAAATACAATATGTATATAAAAAGACATATTAATATATATGTTGTACATTTATTTTATATGTAAATAGGTAAAATGAAAACGAAAATTATAGAAAATCTTTTTCTATAGTTTCCTTTTATCGATACACTTAAAAAACAAAACTATAACTGAACAAATAGGTGCCGTGAGGTCAAAAAGCTGCTATTGAGGGTTCCAATTGAAACTACTATTCAATAGGGATGATAGAAATTGAAGAAAATAATAATATATCATTAAATAGTCATTGTTATAATTATGGTTATGTTATGGTTAAAACCAAAAACATCTTAATAGCGCCATTTACAATTACCTGTGGCGCCATCTAGTTTGCACGGAGAGAACTAATACAACATTTGTAACAGTATAATATCTAATTAGTACATAAAACTTAATACACATCAATAATAAAAAATCCAGTGAATTCGGAAGATAGTTTCGAGAAATTGTAAGAATAAATGTTATTTTTTTGAATTAGGAATATAGTACATGGAAAATGTGTTTTAATTTGGATTTAGAAGTGAATTTTGTAGCACTGGATTTTATGTCAAGGGTTAAAATATTTCAGTGTTTAATAGCCTGCAACATGAAAAATTTGCAGACGAAGCTCGCACGATGAGCAGGAACGTGCAAAAGTAGATTCCTAGACCAATGAAGGTTTTTTTCTTTTTTTATTATTATTCATATATTTCCCGTATATAAACTTCCAAGCTTTTTACATTTTTAATTTTCTTATTTTGTTAATATATATAATGTTTATCACTATTTACCTTACCTAATAAATTACTTTTAAATACATACAGACTATTTTGTATATTCTTCTATAGGTATTTATATTATTGGGTTTTTAAACTTTTTTTTTACTTGTAGACAAATGAAGATTACTGCAAGTAAGGTAAGTAAGTATGCATTTGGGTTTTGATTTTACTTTTTTTTACTTGAATACAGGTTACGGTTAGTAAGATTATGCATGAGTAAGTGAAACCATTGCCGAAGCGAAGTCTCTCACCAATAATTTCTACTAGAACTATGGGAACCTGTTCCGCAGTTTAGAAAACCACGCATCTGAGCAACTAGTCACATGGGAATGGGCGCGTGTATATATAATGATTTCTATTACCACACGTACGTTGATTGTGTACAATTTCTGTGTCATTGATCACATCATCACAGTGGATATACCAGCTATTCAACTTTACATCGCTTCAATGGTTGCTTTTGTTGGAAACATGTAACCAGTGTACTTTTATATACAGGTGCCCCAGAACTCAACGTCAAACCGAAACGAGGTGACAGAATTGATTGTAACCATCATGAGAAACTTCTGAAAATAATCTATCCCATGCAGTTTGAAAAATATGGGCATTTAAGGAAAACCTAAAATTTTGGTCAAACTATAACCTTTTTCGGTTATTGTGGTAAATTTTTAAAATTTTGTACCATAACCCTAAATAATATTTCTAAAACCACAGTCAAAAGTAATGACACAATTGGCAAACAATATCATTACATAGTATAAAACAAAGTCTCTATCGCTGTCTGTACGTCCCTATGTATGCTTAAATCTATAAAACTACGCAACAGATTTTGAAGCGGTTTTTTTTAATAGATAGAGTGATTCAAGAGGAAGGTTTATATATATGATACATGTACACCCGTCCGAAGCCGCGGCGAGTAGCTAGTAATAAAATAAAGTTGTCATTTTTAAAAGTGTTGTTAATTAGAAACACTTTTTATATATGAGGTTGTAATTATTTGTAAGTATTGTTTAATTGGGAAGATGGTTATAGGCTGCCTGCTTGGAATCTACAGATTTCATTTTACTATACGGAGCTGGGAATTCAGATTTTGACACATTTTGAAATTGGATAAAAAAACCTTAAATTGAATAAAGGATTTTCTATTTTATTCTATTGGCATACTGTCTATAACTGCATGGTTGGGGGGCAGATGAAATGCATAAATTCATGACTATTAACTTTTGACTTACAATAGATTTAACAATAAGTATAAGTTGGACTTTATTACCCGCATTTAGCCTGGATCTTTGTTCGTGTAGAGCCGAGACTAACTCTAGTAGTCTCGCTTCTACACGAACTCCTATTAATAACTAACAGCCAGACAAGCTCTTCCCAGAAGCGTCGAAATTACCAAAGTAGCCAGCCAAGCTCCTCCTAAAAGCGTCGAGACTACTAGAGTAGCCAGCCAAGCTCCTCCTAGAAGCGTCGAGACTACTAGAGTAACCAGTCAAGCTCCTCCTAGAAGCGTCGAGACTACTAGAGTAACCAGTCAAGCTCCTCCTAGAAGCGTCGAGACTACTAGAGTAACCAGTCAAGCTCCTCCTAGAAGCGTCGAGACTACTAGAGTAACCAGTCAAGCTCCTCCCAGCGTCGAAGATGTTGTCTTCAGGCCTCACCTTACCGTCCCAAGGATTTAGATAACGGTTTATCATATATCACATAGATTACGCCCAGACAAACATACACACGTAAAGGATAAAGCTAATCTAAACTATGTATTGTCTCTGTACACATGCACAGATAATAACTCGCATGGTAAACATTATTATTGTGTGAATCTCAACGAGGTGCATTGAAAATAATTGTATATTCGTTGAATATAATTATAAAACACCATATTTCTTAATTAAATCTTATACATATATAAAATTCTCGTGTCACAATGTTAGTTATCATACTCCTCCCAAACGACTTGATCGAGTATTATGAAATTTTATATGCATATTCAGTAGGTCTGAGAATCGGCTACTATCTATTTTTCATACCCCTAAGGCATTGGGTTGTCCACCCCTAACATTATTTTTTTAAATTTTTTGTCAATTTTTATTATTATGTGTCATTAAAAATACATACAACCCTAAATTTTCACCCTATTATCACCAACTCCTATTTTTTATAGCGTTATTAATTTATATGGCAAAACAACGTTTGCCGGGACAGATAGTAATTATATATATTTATTAAAATGTCGATATAATTAACGGTGTAACCAAATGTTGAAGAGAAAAAAAATTACAATCGATATCTTGAGAACACACCGTTCTATATTTAAATATAATAATTAAAGAGGTTACAATACCTATTTTTGTTGGAGTTTCCAACAATTATTACACCTACATAAGTGTACAATGTAAATAAATTGACTTTAAAAAAAAAATTCAGTTGAAGTTTCTTGCCAGTTCTTCACAATTGAATCTGTATGCTGAACTGAAATATTAATACAAAAAACTTGACGGTCAAAAGCGGCTCAAAATTTCCTACGTGAATAAATGATATTTGGATTGGAATCAATATTGAAATAAACTAGTTAGATCAGCATAGTGCGCGTAAAAACCATCAATCATTACATAGTATAAAATAAAGTCGCTGTCGCTGTCTGTCCCTATCTATGTATGC